GGAAGCAGGGCTGGTCGGGAGGGGAGGAAGCAGCTGGTGGGGAGCGGGGCTGGCCCGGGGTGCTGCCCATCCCACACACAGTCCCAGCAGGGTGCATGGGCAAGTCTGGCCCCAGGGATTCCATCCCGCCCCAGCCCCAGCCCCGCCCCCCTCCTCTCTACTGTGTAGTTGTGTACTGCTTGGTTGGTAGACACGCTCACGCAGTGTGAGTGTGTCTACCAGCCAGGCAGTAAACAACTACGTACTGATACTCATGATGATAATAAAACTTACTTAATTAGAAAATACAAGACATTTATATGTCTTGTATTTTCTGAATTTGTTTCCCGGACAGAAAGCTCAAATAGCAGACTGTCTGGTTCAAAACCGGACACCTGGCAACCCTACCACCCGAGTGACTAAAAGAAAGTATAAAATAAACCCTTTTCCAGGGAAGAGGTCATTTGGAAATCCCCTCCCTAAGATAAAGCTCTCCTTCCCATCTCCAACCTCCATTTTGCTTGCAATGGGGAAAACAAACAGAGGGAATCCCAGAGAATAATGTACTCTGCCCGGGTAACTAGGCATGTAAACTTCAGGACACAACAATCAACCCATACTGGTTAATTAAAACAAAAGGAATACTCTTATCAAAACAAAGGTACTGTTGCAAGCATAATAGGTGACTGGTTAAATAGCAATGAAGTGACTTAGACTCAGGGGAAATCCCTCGGCTGAAATCCTTAATTACAAAACAGAAAAACAATTAGCCAGCTCAGACAATTTCCAAACAAGGAAAACAATAAAGTCTGATGGACGATCTAAACTTTTCCCTCCTTACACATTTCAAGAAGTCCATTCTTGGAGAGAGCGAGCATCTCCCTCCATACCTGGGAGAAACTGCTCTGATCTCAAAGAAGAGAGAAAGAAAAACTCCTCTTTCCTGGTTTGAAATTCTTAGCTGCATGTTTACTAGCTGACTGCCCAAATCCCATCCCTAGGTGCATCTCCAATTGCTTAACCCTTTCCTCACTCTTCAGGTAAGTCAGACTCTCCTTAGCAGCTCCTATTTATGACAGTCCTAATGAACCTTCTGCAGCAACTTTGAAGGGCAATTGACATACTCTAACTCCTACTGCTATAAAAGCTTCAGGGGGGAGCCAAGTTAGTCTGTACAGGATAAACTTAAAAAAACAACGAATAGTCTGGTAGCACTTTAAACTTAACAAAACATGTAGATAGTATCATGAGCTTTCGTGGGCAGAGCCCACTTCTTCAGATGACCAGAGTGCAGTTCTGGACATCCAACACTCTGGTCATCTGAAGAAGTGAGCTGTACCCATGAAAGCTCATACGACCATCTACATGTTTTGTTAGTTTTTAAAGTGCTACCAGACTATTTGTTGTTTTTTAAGTTTATCCTATTGCTATAGTCATTGCTCAAAGGACAGTTGGTGGTGACTTACTGATCTGCCCATCTCCTTTGAAAAACATCTTCCTCTTCAAAAAGTGAGCACTGGTGAAGCTCACATCCATTGACCCTAAGCAGTCAAGGATACGGGGCAATTCAGTGACGCATTTCTTGGTTGCATCTCCCCTTTTACTGCCATCACTTGTTCCCAAAGGAAGGGAGAGCTGGCTATCATGAGATAAACAAAGCTAAAAAAGGATTAATGTGAAAACAACAAACTAATAATAATACAGGCTGTGATTTAACATCATTCTATAGTATGATTTTTTTCAGCATATACTTTAACAACATTATAGTCTCTTGAATATTTTAATGTGACTGGAAGTTTGTGGTTCTCCCAGTGAGAACTTCTCATTAGCCACTTATTGTTCTACTAACAAATTAAAAAGAAACAAGACTCCCAAATATTCCTACCCCTCAAATGTTATCATTGTGTAATTTTATACTACTTTCCATCCTCTGCCCAAGCAAATGGTACTCAAAACAAATAATTATACATTAGTGCTGTATTTAACAGATACAGATATCTGGTAAGTATTCAAATCTTGGTTCTATTATATGAGTATTGCAGATTTTATCAACAAAGCTGCTTTATTTTAGTAAAGACAGAAAACCTTTTAAGAGCTTTGCAATAGTTCTTTAATTAAAAAAGTGTTACACAAATTATGTGGGGTATTGAACAGGAAGAACACCATTTTCAGAATAAGTTACTATCTCTAACAAACTCCAAGAAGTTTTGTAGCATTCCAAGATCTAGGACTTAAAACATTTAAGCCAGGAAATTGCAGACCAGCGAGTTTAGTTTCAGCACTGGGCAAATCAACAGAAACTACAGAAATTAACAGAATTATCAAACACATAGATGTATACGATTTGTTGGGGAAGAGTCAATGTGGCTTTTGTAACGGGAAGCCATGCCTCATCAATCTAATAGAATTCTTTGCCAGGGTCAAACAACACATGGGTAAGGGTGACCCAATCAATATAAAATATTGGCTTTTCAGAAAGCCTTGACTAAGTCCCTCATCAAAGGCTCTTAAGCCAAGTAAGATGTCATGGGATAAGAGGGAAAGTCCTTCTATGGATCAATAACTAGTTAAAAGATTGGAAACAAAGGTAGGAATAAATGATCAGTTTTCACAATGGTGAGAGGTGAACAGCAGGAACCCTCAAGGTCTCTACTGAGACCTGTGTTTCTCCACATGGTCATTAACTGTTCATTCCCTTTTTCAGACCATTAGGTATCAAAGTTTGAAGAGGATACAAAGTTATTCAAGATAATTCCAAAGATGACTGTGAAGAGTTACAGGAGGAATCTCAAATAAATAGGTGACTAGGCAACAAAAAGGCAGAGGGGGTGCGGGGGGGGGGGGTTAAATTAGCTGTTACCATGCAATTAATGATCTTGGCATCACTATGGATAGTTCTCCGAAAACTTCTGCTTAAGGCACAGTAGATATCAAAAAGGCTAACAGAGGAACAGGAACTAATATAGGAAAGAGATAGAAAAGACAACAAATATCATAATGCCACCATATAAATGATTGCACAGTAGATATCAAAAAGGCTAACAGACTTTTAGGAACTAATATAGGAAAGAGATAGAAAAGACAACAAATATCATAATGCCACCATATAAATGATTGGTCCATCCACACTTTAAAGACTGTGTCCAGTTCAGCTTGCCCTAACTTAAAAAGGAAATATTGGAACATGAAAAAGATTCAAAGAAGGGCAACAAAGATAATCAAGGGTCTAGAATGGTTTCCATATGGGTAGAGACTAAAAAGATTATGGACATTCAGTTTAGAAAAGAAACTAAGAGGGGATAAAATAGGAATTTATAAAATTATGAACGGTGTGGGGAAAAAAGTGTTATCTTTCCTTTCCCACAATACAAAAACCAGAGGTCACATGACAAAATTAACAGGCAACAGATTTAACAGACAAAAGAAAGTATTTTTTCACACCATGCACACTTAACTTATGGAACTCATTGCCATGGAATGTGTGATGGCGAAAAGTACAATTGGGTTGAAAAAAACTGGGTAATATTATGGAGGAAAAATCTATTGATAGCTATGAGCGCAGATGGCCAGGTATGCAATCAAACGTTTCGTGGTGACCATAAATCTGACTGCCAGAAGCTGAGAGGGGAAGACATGGTTGGATCACTCCATTTCCCTGTTCTGTAAATGCCCTTAAAAATCTAGTACTGCCACTCTCAAAAACAGGATACTGAGCTAGATGGACCATCAATCTGATCCAGTATGACAATTTTTATATTCTGAAATCAACAGTTTTGGGGGTCCTCATCTGGCATCTTTTCAGACGTGTTGAAATTCCTTGATTTTCAAGGCAAATCACAAAATTACCACATGTACAAAAAAGTTATGATTGAGTGTTTTACCTGTATAGGTGGCTCAATCATTATCCATGCAGGAAGCATTAAACTTGGGTTTAGAGGCTGAGTTCCTACTCGGAAGTAAACGCCACCACTAGTATCACAGGCCCAAATGTGCTGATTTCCACATGACAAACTGATCAATTTTATAGCTCCTAATGAGGAAAAGATTGTTGTTAATTTGGCATTATCTTTATTTTATTCCTCATACAATCTAAATTATATAACTTGCAGTTTGTTTTTACAGCAATATTTAAAAAAAATAATGTTCAGAAAAAAGTGATCAACATAATTCACACATTTTGGTAAAAGGAAGGAACATTTGCATTCAACTCCAGTATAACTATAAAGCAAACGGAGGGAAAATATGATCTCATTTACATTTTGTGTATTTAGTCAAGCTATTTTTTCTCATCTGTCTAAAATGGCTATTTTGTGCCATATCCTGCCATGGATAAACAACATTTTGACAATGCATCATGTTCCATCACTGCTACTAGAGAACAATGCAATTTAAATGATTATCGTCAGCAAGGAGTAATATAAATTTTCTATGCTTAGAGAGAGAAAAAATTTCACTAAAGTAAAAATTGACCTAAAGTAAAAAACTCTGTTCTGTAGCTGGTCAGCTAGAAACTTAAAGATCTAGGTCTATAAATACATGCCAGCAATGAGGATCCCAAAGGTTATGCTAAAGGTGGTAGGTATTTCAAGGGTTGCTAAGGGAATCTTTATTACTTGTGGTGAGCAGAAAATGTATTTGCAAGCTCTCTCTCTATTTGTGTCACATAACTTGCTTAATTTTATAGTGGTCACAAAAAAACTGTAATGCTTTAATCTACTATATATTTGAGAGAGTTTGTCTGAATTAGTCAGCCTGTTTGTTCAAGAACTCCTCCTATTCAGTAGGGCTGTGTCCAGACTCAGGGGTTTTTTCGGGAAAAGTAGCCTTTTCCCGAAAAAACTTCCCCTGCATCCAGACTCAAGCCGCGTTCTTTCGAAATAATTTCAAAAGAACGCGGCTTTTCTTTCGATGGCGGTAAACCTCGTTTCACGAGGAAGAACGCCTTCTTTCGAAAGTTCCTCTTTCGAAAGAAGGCGTTCTTCAATGTAAATAGGGCTTCCTCGAAAGAGAGCATCCAGACTCACTGGGTGCTCTCTTTCGAAAAAGCGGATTGCTCTTTCGAAAGATCCGCCTGCAGTCTAGACGCGATCTTTCGAAAGAGCCTCTTTCGAAAGAAGCCTGCAGTCTAGACATAGCCTAAGAGCTAGAACCACCAAATTTGGCATACAGCTTCCTCTTATAATAACTCAAAGCAAAATAAGGGTTTTGCTATTTCAAAATAGTGCGTCCACAGTGAGTGGACGCTGAATTGCATTTAAGGCCGGCCGGAACCAGGTCGGGCAGGGCATCAGGTCAGGAGTTAGCCTCAGGCAGCAGCCACACAAAGTATCTGAGGCATGTGCTTAAAGGGACCCCCCCGGGCAGCCAGTTCTCAGCTTTTCCTGCTTGCTTGCCTACCTCGATGAGGGACAGCAAAGCATTTTGTCTCTGCGTGCTCTGGTTGCCCTCACTCGGGACACCACGGTACTCTGCAACATGGAGCCAGAGCTGCCCCTGGGCACTCTGGTGCTTCTCCTAGATGCATTGCTGTGAGCCTGGCTGCACTTTCTGCAGGCTGCCATCTGGGAGGTCCATCGGGGGGCTATCAGTATCCAGGAGGCCCTGCGGGAGAGCTTCCACCCTGAGGAGCACTAAGAGCCTCCCTGGTCTGCCCCACTGAGGGCTTGTGCCTCATTCCTCCCTCACGTCCTTCCACTTACCCCTCCCTAACCCTCCTTCCTGATGTCAAATAAAATACATGTATTTCATGAACAGAAACTCTCTTTATTTAACTGGAGGGGAGGGGGAGGAGGGAGAATGAAACTCTGGTGAGACTGGGGAAAGGAGGTGGGAGAAGATAGGGTGGGAGAGGGGAGGGGGAAACCTGGGAGGAGGGAGCTGGAAAGGGGAGGGGAAGCTCAGAGCTCAGGGTTGGGGGTCTCGCCGGACCAACTCGATTGTCATACAAACCTGCTCCTGGGTTCGCATGTGGCCTTAGGTAGACAGACTGGCAGGTTCCTCTGTCTAGTGCGGAGATCATGGACATTGGGGGAATCTCCCCCAAACCTGAATAAGGTCTATGATATCCACCCTGCACCAGGAAAGCACCTGCCTTCTCTGGGCCCTGGCAGGCTCCTGGGAGCTGGCAGACTGCTCCTGGGGAGGGGGGGAGGGCTGGCTGCCAGTGGCTTGCTGGCTCATGTTTTGGGGCCACTGGGTCAGAGCAGTGACTGCTGGCTCTGGGCTGGCAGGGTTGGAGCTGGCACAGGCACTGTGGCCAGAGTCAAACCCTTTAAGGGCTCCAGTGAGGGGGAAAGGAGAGGAGTGCTTTTAGTTGAGGCTGGAGTGGCCACCAGGGCACCCGGGGGGGAGGGCTGGCTGCCAGTGGCTTGCTGGCTCATGTTTTGGGGCCACTGGGTCAGAGCAGTGACTGCTGGCTCTGGGCTGGCAGGGTTGGAGCTGGCACAGGCACTGTGGCCAGAGTCAAACCCTTTAAGGGCTCCAGTGAGGGGGAAAGGAGAGGAGTGCTTTTAGTTGAGGCTGGAGTGGCCACCAGGGCACCCTGGGGAGACTGGAGGCCCCCTATTTTGATACAAGTGTCTACACAGCACGTATTTCAAAATAGCTATTTCGAATTTGGCATTATTCCTCGTGGAATGAGGTTTACCAAATTCGAAATAAGAGCACCGCTATTTTGAATTAATTTCAAAATACTGGTTTGGTGTGTAAACGCTAGTAAAGTTATTTCGAAATAACTTTGCTGTGTAGACATACCCTAAATTGATGTGCCGGGAAATGGGATTGCTTCTCATAAAATCATACATAATAGAGGCAGAATCACCAGGCAGCCAGTCCCGAGCCTCCCACTCCCTGGATACTCTTTAGGGAGGGTAGAGATGTCAGAGAAGCTCTCCCCCACTTCCTTCCCTCCCCCCCGATTCATATGGGAACATTGCTGGCTGTCCCCCTTTCTCAGGGAGCAAGGGGAAAGTGCACAGTTTGCCGCACTCTTCACTCTTGCTGGAGAGTGCAGGGAGCAGACAAACCTGGACCACCCAGGAGACATGAATCTCCTCCTCCCCTCCCCACTGTGCCCGCTGGAGCTGCAGTAGCCACAAGAGGTGCTTCTCACCTGGCCCCAAGCTGCTGCGGTGAGAGGACTGGGACAGTCCTTTCTCCCTGGGAAAGCCTGCATATTGAACCCCTCAAACCCAGCCCCTCGCAGAGCAATGATTTGAATGAAGTATGGACATTTTCATTTTATTTTCCAATAAAACAAAAATTGAGTTAAGGATCCGAACACCACCAAGTAAACACCATGTTCTAGTCTTACATATACCAGCAATATGAAGGCATCATATTCACTTCATTTAAAAATATCCATGGTATCCATTACAACTAATATTTGTGTTTTTTTCTAGTGTTAGGAAGACATGTACAGTGTTAAGTAGTGGAAGAATGAACTAACAATGCAGTTAGGCTGAATACTGAATGCTTCGGTCAGATGTTTTATTAAATGTTTGCTGTATGGGATACCTATTATTGGACATAATGTTCACTTGGGAGAAGTGAAATCTGACAACCAACTCTTCATAAAGCATATCACTTAATACTTTTCACTTTGATTAGAAGATGCAGTGTAAACTGGAGGTTTATATAATTTATCAGAGCATGAAGAATATATAATATTACCCTCACCATCTTGTGTGTCTCACATTCTGGGACCAACATGGCTACAACATTACAAACAGTAATAGTTTTCTCACATGATGATGCCTCAGCTGTTTAAATGTTTTGATCCAAATAAGCATCAGCTCACTCAAATGTGGAGTCATATGTCACTTACATGGCATTGCTGGTATTATTTATCTCGAAAGTAAAATATGATATTCCAAAATATAATCCTTTTATGTAAACATTTTCCGGTTTTTTTTCTTTTTTTCTTTTACCTTAGCAAAAGGTCGTGCTAACCACTCTGCATACACATAAGACACAAACACTACATCTAACTATGATTCAGATACTTTGTTTACAGTTGAAATGTAAAGGTCATTCTACTGTGTTTAGAAACAGTGACACTGATAGCGTAAACCTTAATCAAAACAATTTACCAGATTCTACAGTACACAGTGTAGAGAGACTGGAGAAGGGTACAACTGATATAATAGAAAATATTTCATCATTTATTCTAGGAACAGGATCATCCAATACCAAAGTCCACATCTCTTTTTCCAAGTTATATGAATTTTTCAAGGCAGTTTACTACTTTTAAAACTTCCACAAATAAAATTTGATATCTAGAATTGACAATTTATTATAGTTATTAAACTTTTTAGGCTGCAATGTAACAAGCTAAAGATATGATTAAGTAATTCACTTGTTGAGAATACACTTTTGTGCTTGCACAGAATCCCAGTGGCTGCACAGCTGGACCCAAATATGTTAAATTGAAGAACTGTGCCCCAAAATGATATCAAGATGAAGAAAGATGTTTTATTGCAATAATCAGCTACTGTCTATGATTTCTTGGCCTTCTCCCCTCCCAATAGACAATGTGTCAACTATTTAAGAGTATTTATAGAAATCACTACTAGAAGGCATTTAAGATGATTTTTAAGTCAATTAGCCCAAGTATGGAGTATTACAACTATTACATTATACTAATATTTATATATCAGTGTAAAGACATGACTAATCAGACTTTCTATGCAGCCACCAATGCATACCAAGAAAGAAAAATACAAACTATCCTGATCCCTATCACATGATTTACATCCAATGTGTCTCATAAGCCATGGATATCTCAGAAGTGAAAAATGTTTCAAAACTGACAGAGCAGTATGACCTACTGTATGTAGCACTGGAGTAGGGCTGGGGAGACTTGTTCTATTCTCAACTCTGTTTGAGTCTGCTGGATGGTCTCGGGCAAGTTACTTCACTATTGTGCCTCAATTTCCCCTTCTGAGAAAGGAGGTAGTGATACTTACCTCTTTTGTAAAGCAATTGATATCTACTGATAAAGCTTTAACAGCTAGGTATTAACCATGAAATTAAAATACCATCACCTAAACTCTCAAAAAAGCGAAGTTACTGCACCAAGGTAACTGTCATTCTTCAAGATGCGTGTCCTCGTGGGTGCTCCACTATAGGGCTGGGCTTGCCCCGGTGCCTACCGTGGAGCACCCACGGGGACATTACTCGAAGAAGAACAATAATTACAAAAGAGGTCCAAAGGCTTGACAGGCAAACGAGGGAGCCTGTTGGTAGCCTCACCCACAGACCAGTGAGTGTGAGACAGCTTGAGAAGCATTCAAGTTAAAATATCTTGGAAGGTAGGAGCCAGTCTAATTAAAAAAAAAAAAAGATCATATTACAACCTGAAAACTTGATACCTAAAGTTTTAAACATAGACAATGTTTTTCCTGTGCATAACTTACTGAATGGATTTTGATCTGACTTTAAAATAAATCACCTTTGATCTGATGCCAAATGCTGGAAATTACATCATAAAAGGAAATGTGAAAACATTAAGAGCCAATTTGGTAGTGATATTAGAAAGGACTTCATTCTTAATTATGTCAACTACGTATGAATCACTTTACTTGTCTCCAACAGACTTGCACAGAATATTGTGCGGCAGTTAATAACAGTGCACAACATTAAAAACGTTAGGACATTAAGTAGAAACACGGCCAACAGTGAGACTATCAAAGAAATATACATGTTGAATAAAATTGCTGAACTGCTAATCAGACAGAATACCCCATTGCTTATGAAAAGAGCCATATTGGGAGAAAGTTTTAATGACCATATGAAGCCAAGGTCTAAAGTTTTATGTCTCATCCAAACAAAGACAGCAACTTCAACTGCACCATATTCCCCAACGTCATGCTGAGGCATAAGTTCAGTATCTACATTAATCACTAGCGCTGCTTTCTGAAACCATTTTCCTTGAAAGGCTCCCAGCCAAGTACTGACTTCTTTACCTGACAAGATCAGACGGACGTTAAAAAAAACCACCTTACAAAATATGATCAAGTGAACAGCGAATGCTTAACAGCACTTTTGCTGTCAAAGCATGCCTACTATTGGAAAACCCTGGTATTTTTTTTCCATTTTATAAAATTAGAAACATATACATCTTTCCTAATACAGCAGTTCTTTTCAGGTGTTATTAAATCCAAAATAAATCTTAAAATGTAAATTGGTATTTGGAAAAACAAATTAAAAAATGCAACTGATTTTAAAAATCTGTGTTTAAAAATAATTTGACTCTTTTTGCTTACCACAAAGAGCCATACCTAGCTGAGAAAGGTCCAGTTTTGTCCAGTGCATCCCAGCTGGGCAACTTGGTGAAAGTGTTCTGATAAAGATCTGTCCTTGATTATCCAAACCCCATATGGCATCCTGGCAGGCCGAATAGCACACCATTTCAACATCAGGGAGTAGCTGCACTGAAGAAGGATGAAACTGAGGATTCTGATCACTGACACAAAACAGATCCTTGTTGCTTTGGCATAGCCACAGAAAGCTTCCTATGAAGAGAACATGAGTGTTGTTGTTGAAATCACTTCTAATTCACTCTCTAAAACATACACAGTTGCTTCACTCTATCACTAAGTATCAAATGCATTTAAAAATAATCAATATTCCAAAATGTATTCTTGGGTCACGATTTTTTAGCCTAAAAATTCTTAGAGTTAGGCTCCTTAACTCATATTTAGGCATCTAACGTATTTGGCTTAATTTAAAAGTGCTGAGTATTTAACACTTTATTTAGGAATAAAAATTAATGTATGTACACATCCACGCACAGACCCACATTCCTGAAACTATTTCTTTCTGTCATTCTTCTATATAGCTTGCAATCTCTTCATCCAAATTTCACTGCTGTTCTGTTTTTCCCTTGATTTTCAGGCCAGGTCTACACTACACTTTTGCCAACACAGCTATGTCAGTCAGGAATGTGTGACAAAAAGCACTCCAGTACTCACACTCTCTTGTAATAATCTTTGTTCACAAAATATTTTGTTGGGGTATCATTTAAAAAAACCTAATAACTCACTGGGGTCAATATCATCAGGGTGAAATGTGTGAAGCAATATATGTAAAGTTATGAATTCCTCCTGTATGCACGTGTTCAAAAAAAAATAAAAAATCAGACAATCCTGCCTAAGCAAAACTTGTTAAACAGGCCTATCCTAAATAAAGGAACGTGCATTTACCTCAAATTTACATAAAAGTAGCAAACAGGGTTCTAAAGACAGCAAAAGGAAAAGATGGCAGGAAACAGAATAATTTGCATTTTAGCAAATGAGCGAGACACAAAAGAGTACAGAGCCTCCTTCAATATCAGGCTGCAGGTCGCCTTCCTCACTGTTATAAATAATTTTTACTTTGAGGGGTGACCTTCAGAACAATCCACTTCAAAGGTTCATTGGACTATAAAAGAAATGGGCAGAAAAAACTCCAGTTTTCTTTTTCACCAAAGACAAACACCACCTTCAGGCCCCTGAGAATGATCCTGACCAAAGAGTGACTCAGTCACCATCTTGCTGGAAAACTGTGGGTGAAAGATGCCATCTTAACAAATCTTTGAATCAAAAGTTGCTAGATTAAGTTTTAGACATTTAGATGAAGATTTTCACTTTATTTGCTGGTAACCATTTCTAACCATCTCATACACATAAATACACTTAAAATCCTATCTTCTTTCATTAATAAAATTATTTCATTTTAAAATCAAACCAATCTAGTGTTGTGTTTAAACTGAACTGTTTGGAAATTTCAGTTAAAGTAGGAACTCTTGAATATCAATTCCTTAAAGCAGAGGTGGAGAATGTTTTTTGGGTCACAGGCCACTGATCCAAGGAAAAATCAGTCGGGGGCAACATGCAAGAGAGAAGCAAAGAAAAAAAATCCCAAACCAATACCAAGAAAACATACCTCATCACAGCAAGGAAAGAAAAGAAACGCTCATCTCCCATGCCAGGGTTCCCCTTGTACTCCAGCCCCATTGGGGTGTCCCAGGGGGAGGGGACAGTTCCCAAGGCTCAGGGATTCCCCCAGGGCCAGATTACCTCTTCTGGGGGTATGGGGCTAGGCTCTGGGGTGAAGCCAAACATGAGGGGTTCAGCGTCTGTGCAGGAGGTAGGGTTGCAGGAGCGGGCTGGTGGTGCCAGGACTGGGTAGGAAGAGGGATGCAGGGTCTGCGCAGCCTTCCTGGCACATCTCTGGGGTTTGGGAGGGGAGCATGCACAGGTGGCTCCACACCACCATGAGCAGGCAGGCACTGCCCTCATCTCTGCTTGCCTTGGCCAGGAGTCCCAGCCAATGGGAGGGACAGAACAGCAAGCAAGTGACAGAGCTGCTGTTCCCAGTGCAGAGCCGCTTCCTCGCCGTTAGGCAAAGCCCGTGGGATGGATGCTGATTGTGCAGTGGCTTGCCTGGATCCAGCCCACGGGCTGTAGGTTGCTCATCCCTCTCTTAAAGGGACAATGAACCCACCGATTGTTCCAGGGCAGGACCAGACATTTCAGAACATATTTTTTGAGAAAAATTGGGGTTGGGACATGTGTGGAATTACCAGACCAGTTGTTAACTAAGGTTGGTGGAAGCCTGTGGAACTCTGTGGTACTGCAGGCAGTCTCTAGCAGGGCTTCCATCTGTCTTTTTTCTTTTGAGTTAAAAAGTAATGGGAGTAAAAACCCTTCCCCCTGTATTGTGAGAAATTTGTTTCACAGCACTTAAATGTAGACGATAGTTTACTTCTTGTAGAGGGTTTCCCTGAAAAGGGTCCCTCAAAGGGGACAGAGAGGGATGTGGTGGGGGGATGGAAGTAAGAGGAATCAAGTAGCCCCTGTATATGATTTCTAGATTATGTCAAGCAGGGAAACAGACAGTCCCTAAAATGGAAATAGATTATGTCATCAGCTCTGTAGAGTGAGAGAGTTCATTCGGACCTTCAACCAAGCCTTCAAATTTGTTGCTTCAAGGAAAAGGTTAAGTAATCAAATAACTAAACTAAAACTATGCTAGTAAACTGTTTTAATGCTAAATGAACTATCATCATAATTCTGCATTATGATGATGTCAGGCCAAGGATGGTTGAAAAGAAACTGAGGAGTTCAGGTTGATTATGCACTAGATGAAACACCAAATGGTGCCATGAGATGGAGACCACACATGTACAACCCAAATGGGTACTGCTACTGAGGTTCTCCCTCCATGGGGCATCACTCATAGAATGTCCCTCGAAATTTGAACTGTGGCAGTTTTCTGCTTGAAACACAGTAAACTGCAAATTACAGCTTGCTTTGTTTACTAGTGGCTGATCATGAATGGTAGAAACTGGGGCAAATGCCCCATAGGCAAGGCTTTAAATACCTTAAATATTTTATAAGTGTTTATTTAACATAAATCCATCCACTTGTCTAATAATATATTGGACAGATTACCTTCAAAATGTATGCAACTAAGGGAAAGTTCTCATTTTTAGAGACGTTATACTCTGGTTTCTTTTAAAAGCATAAGTGTCATTTTTTCCAGTCCCAGAGAGAGAAAAAAAGAATGAGAGGAGAAAGATGTGGTTAAGGCACTGGACCTAGAATCAGCAGATCTCAGTTCTATTCCTAGCTCTAACACAGGATCTCGATTGATTTTGGGTCTCTCCCTCTCCCTCTCCCTCTCTCTCCCTGGCTCCCTCTCAATAAAAACCACTTTTATATTGTGCTGAAATCTTTCAGTGGTGAAATGGCAAAAATTAAAGGGGGTGTCAGCTCACTTGCTAGAGAGCTTTACTGATTCCAATAACCTAATAGATTAGTCTGCCTAATTTTGAAACCTCCATCCTGCTGGTGCTGCTTTGAATGACTAGATTTCTCTAGGACCAAACAGTCACCATTAAGAGCAAGGATATAGATTAGAATACCAGTATAGAATATGGTATTTAAGGCCAGAGTTAGCATAAGTACAAGTATGCTAAAATGCAAAAATAGTTGACGAGAAAAATATGTGGATTACTAAATTTGTCCCATTCTCATTCACTGAAGTACTTCAATGGGATTTGTGGATTCATCTTGCACTAGAGCAATGTATGTAAAGTGTCTAGCATATTGTGGCAGGCACTACAGGAATACAAAATAAATAGGTCAGTACAAAATCTCTTGAGTCCTCAAACTGAGTGTTGCTAAGACTCCAGGTCTGCCATCCCTTCTCCCCCAATCTTTGGTGGCAGACTTATTGCTCCCACCTCCCTTCACCAACTCTTAAGCACCTATGCTCAATTAAAGCCATATTCGTTTTTCTTTCCATATTTAGCAACTCAGCACTCCCACCAAATGAAGGATAGAGAACTTCAAAAAGACATTAAGCATACAATTCCTTATATGAGGACACCAGAAAAGCAACATGCCATTTAAGCATCATTCCACTGTAGTCCCACCAGAGTTTATCTCCAATAACTTACACTGCAGGAAAATCTAACTTGAATAAATATGGGATTTCTGCACAGCCAATAGACAAAATATCTGGACTAGTTCAGCATTATAGAACCTGTAAACATCATTTCAGCTATCAACTCTAATGCATGAAATCAGTTTAACCACAATATAAACTTATACTGAAGTTTCACTAACCTTCTTTAGTTGGAGATGTGGAAGCTAAAACAAAAGCCCATTTTGTGGCAGAAACAGTACCTCGAGGCACAATATTATTCCAATACGTTCCTGAAAAAGAAAGTAAAACAGTATTAGCATGAATCACACATTGCAACTTAAGTGTTATGACAGATTCTTTTATTATAATGTTTTTAAAAGATCTGAGGATTTCTGTTGTAATCAACTATATTTATTCTATTCAATATCTTATATTGCCATGGTGAAACACTGTAAAAGCAAACAACTATTAAGACTGTAAAAGCTCCATGTTTCCCACCAATCCATGCTCATAAGTTTGATAGACTGTCTTCAGGTCTAAAAAACCCCACATTTTTCATTGTTTTTAATGCAATTATGTCTCTAAAGAGTTTGTTACATCATCATGGACAAACACAAAATCAGCACATAAATAAAGAAGTCATTGTGACATGAACCATCAGGTTCAATGTTTACACATTTGGCAAGTGTTTACATTTGTGAATTACACCAAGTAGACATTAAATGAAAACTAAAGCCCACAAGAGAACTAAAACTTCCTGTCTGAAAGCATGTATGAATTGCTCCATCTGAGGTCACTTTTCATTTGAAGCACTAGCAGCAGTTTTGACACTAAACTTGTAGCTAAACATTGTGCTAACTCTTCAGCAAAAGATTTTATGTGGCTTTCGTAAATCTAAAACAGACAAAAGTGAGAAGGATATTCTTTCGTATCCAATGCTAAGTTTGTGACTTTCAATATTCTGCTCTTCCAGGGATACACAACTATAATTAACTTCACATCATCAGTAAGGCTCAGATTTAGTCCTGGGTATTTTTGGTAAAAGTCATGTACCCAGTCAAGGGCAAAACCCAAAAATTCACAGCATGTGAACAGTCTGTGACTTTTACTATGAATACCCATGACTAAATCTCTGTTAGTCTGGGGGACCCTGGCTCCATCAACAGGGTATGACTGCTCCCCCACCAACCCACTGCTCTGGGGCCCCAGAAACTACTTTTCTGGCAGCCACTGGAGCACTTCCTGGGGCCTGCCACTGCTGGACCATCCCAACAGTGGCCAGCATGGCTAGCCCCCGGGTCAGCTGCTCAGGCTATCCTGGAATCAGCCACATCAGCCACTGCAGCTGCAGAAGTCATGAAGGTCATGGAAAGCCATTACTTCCAGGACCTTTAAGACAGAATTGCAGTCTTAGTGGTTAGCAAAGTCTTTCACTTATTAATCTTCTAAAGTGCAAAATCCAGTATGTTGCCCATTTCCACAAAAATGACATGTTTCCCACTTATGACCAAATCTCATCTAAACTGGACTGACTGGGTACCATTCAAAAACTGAAAGATCTGCAGAGCAAATAGTCACACTTTGTTGAGAGGACACTTTTTTTTTATTAGACAAACACAATTCCACGCAATTGTTTCGCTTTTAAAGATGTTGATATAAAATACTAGTAGCCCCCAAAATCAAACACATCTCAAAAATCCCCAAACATATGCACAAATCTTCGCTTATGCTTGCTTAAATACATGTCAAGCACTTCTACCTACGTTAGTGTTTATTTAAATAGATTTAATGATCCCTTAGAGTGTGTGATTAGGTTGAGTAAAGGAACGGGAGTATTTTTTTGACAGACTCCCTATGTAAATACAGAACTATATAATCCTTCATATCATCTAATGAAAGAATCCCAAAGGAACATTTAATCTGGCATTCTTTAGTTACTAAGCTAAGATGCTGCTACCAAGAGACCATCAAGTCAACTTTTTGGTAAAATAAAAGTACGGTTTCTATATTCCAGTTTAGACATACAGCTATAGAAACATCTGACAAAAGGACAGAGAAATTACAGCTCTAAGGAGCCTCCAACAAGTCTAGGGAAATCCTCTTGAAAAATTGTTGGAGCAGGGCTTTTCACCTCAGAATGGCTTCAAATCACAGGTGAAAATGCACACTGGCATGCAGATGAAGCCAGGATTGCATGAGATGAGAGCAGAAAGGTTAGAGGCTTCTGCAAATAGACCAAATCAGCCATGAGCTACAACATTAATCAGTCAGGCTAAAATCATTAAGTGTCTTAATGTTTAGCTTGTTCGCTCATCAGATTGTAAGTTATACATTGCTTATTTTCTTAGATATTTTCCAAAGTATCACTATATTGTACAGTAGAGATGCAAAAGTTTAAATGCTTAACAACCTGTAAGCCTCACCATTAATGGTGAGGCTTAACCTTAAATGCTTAACCTGAAAGCTTCACCCTGCGGTGCCCATTGAAGCAGCCCCATCCATGGTGGGCCCAGTCAGTCCCAACCCCCGCTGCAGGTTACATTCTGACTGCTGAGGTGTGGGGCTGGCCCACTCCTGGGGAGCTGGCTGCAGAGCCTACAGCAAAGCCTCCCTGGGAGTAGGGCCAGCAGCCCTTGAAAGACCCACTGCTGGGAAGGTGGCTTCACTGTCACAGAGAAGCCTCTTCCCTGGGAGCAGGGCCAGGAGTAGATGCCACCCTGCTTTTGGAAAGGCTTTTTAGCAGTTACATGGTTACATTATTAACGGCGTCCCTAGTATGCAGCATCATATATAGGTATTGTAGCATCTAGTAGCCCTAATTATGGAGCGAGATTCCATTGTGCTAAGTGCTATAGTGTTTGGTTGAGTGATATCAATATGCAACTTTGTAACTCAAGATATTGGTGCATGAACTGAAAGAAGCAACAGGACCTAGTTTATGGAAAGTACAGTATAACAAGATCTGAGCAACAGGCTCCCACACTAGCCTTTTTCACAGGACAGTAAAAGCGGCATCATCTGGCCTTGTACCTACCAAAATCTCTACAAATCAGCATTTCTGATTTTTGTTGAAAGTCTGCTTTATAGCCTGTGTCTAGACTACATGCCTCTGTCGTCAGAGGCATGTAGATTAGACACATAGGCAAAGGCAAATGAAGCCGCAATTTAAATGATCACAGCTTCATTTAAATTTACATGGCTGCCGTGCTGAGCCGACAAACAGCTGATCAGCTGTTTGTCCGCTCAGCGCGCTAGTCTGGATGCTCCCCTGCCGACATCAAAGCCCTTTGTTGGCAGCCCCGTTATTCCTCGTGGGATGAGGTTTACCGGGGCTGCCGACAAAGGGCTTTGATGTCA